CAACCCTCCTCGGGCGACACACCCCCAACAACAGGTCCGTCGCGTTGGCAGGTTTCGGTTACGGTTTCGGTTTACGGCCAACGGTTTACGGTTTACGCTTTACGTTGGCACGCGCTTATCGAGCCGAGCGCAGCGTTTAGTTTGTGATTGAGTGGGTGGACGTGTGGATTGACAGCATGAATCTGCTAAATCAACAAGCCATCCATGTCCATGTCCATGTCCATGTCCATATCCATGCCGACTGCTGATGACCATTCACAAACTTTACGCTTTGGCCAAAATCTCTAGCATATTTCTGTGTGTGCTTGAATTTGGCGAAACAAAAAGTTTAAAGCCGCTCGTGGCTGGTAATTAAAACCGAAAGCCTTTTGCTGTCTGTAATCCAAAAGCGGATGCCGCCAAGCTCCCACAAAATGATAACCCTCTCCAACTAAATCCAGCAACGAAAAGCCATACATCATAGACGCCACGGGGAATCCCAACAAAGATGACAACGCAGCCAGAGAAAAAGGCGGCAAAAGTTATTTTGTAATTAGTGCAAGAGTTACAACAACAACAACAACAACAACAGCAGCAGCAACAACAGCAACAACAACAAATTGTTGCCAAATGAAATTGTAGCCGACTTTTGGGCGCCGCTGCACTAATTACCGCTGACGTGCGCATCGTGCCTGTGCCCCCCCGCGCTTCCCATTCCACTGCTGTCCTCCGCCTGTCAACTCAAGTTTGACACTTTTTTCGCACAATTTATGAGGCTGGGTAAAAAGCCCACGCCTACAATTTAGAGGGCTGCACAGTGGTGTTTATTTATTGAAAATGCAAGTTTAGCAACAGTTGCATGTGATATATATGGGGATATAGCTCAGTGGTAGAGCATTCGACTGCAGATCGAGAGGTCCCCGGTTCAAACCCGGGTGTCCCCTGTATTCAAGTATTCTTTTACCCGAATATAATGAAAAGTTTGTATTTTTATTTTTTTCCTTGCGTCCTCTGAGAAATGTTATATATCTTTTTTCTTAAGTGATTAATAGTTTGAATTATTTTTATTTTATCCAAGCCATATCAGCTACTTTCATTTAGCATACATTTAAAACTACTGTATTATTGGCTGCATTTTTTTTTTTTAAATTTTAGTTCCTTACAATTTTTAAATGTTAGCTAAATGTAAAGTCAAGCCCACTGTGCCTTGCTAGATAGAATGACACTTGAGCCGCCGCTTGGGCTGGCACTTAGTTTGGAGTTTTATGAGCGCAATTCGATTATTCTTCATTTATGTCAATCAATGTGATTTCTGTTGGCTGCTTTTAGGCGCAGGATGCGCACCCTTAATCGCTTTGTTTAAATAGTAAAACGGAAGCGCGCACACACACATAGAAATTCACTGCCGAAAAATCTGGAAATTTAATATCATAGCTGGAAATTGTTGTGCTTGTGCTTGTTGTTGTTGTTGTTGTTGTAGACGCCACATAGTCTCTGACTGTTGTCGACTGTCTGCCCGACTGTCTGGGCGGCTCTCACTTCCTGTGGGCTTCGCCTTGTCATGTATCCTTTTGCGTACAGGATGAACCAAAAAAAAAAACCTTGTGAAAATCCTTTGCGGCTATGACTGCTGTTTTGTTGATTTTCATTTCATTTCCCAGTTTTTCCTTGCTTGTTGCTGTTCTCCTTGCTGTTGTTGTTGTAGTTGCTATTTACATCCGCAACTTTATTATAGCTTTTGGCTGAGTTGCAACTGTTTGTCTGTTTGCTCTACGCTTATGAGGGTTAGGCTCATGCGTCGTATTAGCAACGTCGCCAGGGCAGCTGCTCAGGACCAGGGGCAGCAGGAGGGCATACAGCAAAGTACTTAGATGGAGAATTCTAAGAGCCATTGGGCTTTATGGATTTTGAATTGGTTGCTTTTGCTATGGGAAATGAGGCAGTTGCTCAGAGTGTTGGCTAAGATTAGTGGATACTTTATTAGAACTTTGAGATAGTACGGATATCGTATGCATTCCTATGTGCACTTTCATGTATTTAGTTTGCCGATATAATTTCCCTTTGTGTTAACTATTAAATTTATAAAGTATTAAATATTTATAAAAATAAGTGTCCATATTTACTTTTTAATAACCTTGTAGAGGGTATTATAATATTGTCTCCGACCTCTTAAAGCTTGTATAATCTAGATCAGCATCAACAGTCCAGTTGATATAGACGTAGTTGTCCGCTCGTCTGTCCGTCTTTCTGTCTGTCTGTTTCTTGCGAACTAGTCTCTCAGTTTTAAAGCTATCGTCTTTGAAATTCTGTGGTAGGCAGTACATATGTAGGAACCGGCTGGGTCGGACCTCTATAACACATAGCTGCCATAATAACGATCGGTCGAAAGGTAAGTTCTGGTATCGAAACCCTTTTTTTTTTGTTTTATTAAGAAAACTTGTCCAAGCTCGGGACTAGTTCCTCTATTATCCGTATCTATATGCAAAATCGTATCATCATAGCTTCACTATGTGATATAGCTGCCATGGGAAAGATCGGTTAACAGGTGGGATCTTATATGACAAAATATTCAGTTTTTCAAGATATTTTCATCAAACTCAGCATTTGCGAGCTTCAATATTCTCAAATATCTTCAGGGGCATTAAATCTTCGGCTTGCGAAGATATATGAGGCTTAAAAATCAATAAGCAATAAAAAAATTTCAAATTTAGCTAAGTTTATTGTATCAATTAATTATTTAATTAATAATTAAATATAGTAGAATAAAAAATATACATTTTAACAAGATTATATGTTCATACGACCAAACTATTTTGATAACATGCTTAGTTCTATAGATGAAAATATGGGTTTACTATAATATATATATATAATATATACATATAAATTATATATATATAAATACAATCCATATAATTCTTAGTAAATTATTCTCTTTGGTATTCCATAAATTATATGATATAAATAATATTGTGGAATGCCTATAAAAGAATGTTTAATAAACAACTTTTTAATATTTTAATAGTCCAAATTTGTTATATGTCTGATAAATAATTTCTAGCGATTGAACATATTTTTGTAAAAGTTAACAACAAACTGTAAATCTTTAGAAACGGGATAAAAAACCAATATAAATATATGATTAATTTATGTTTTAGTAGTTGAATAATAAATCTCTCCCAAAGAGAGAAAACCTTTCTTAGTATCTCTGTTGTTTACATACCATATATTTATGTATATATATTAAAATAGCGTAGGAAATATGCCTCAAATTTGTTAAACAGTAAGTTTTACTGATGTAGGATTATAAATTTAAAAGGATAATTGGATTGCTTTGACAATTATTAATTGCCTTTACAAAATATCAACTTAATGACAATATAATTTATTTTCCTTCACTAAATTGACACAGTTTTCCTTACAGTAATTCAGAAAGGCAGCCATTTATTATGATAAGCTAGAATTAATTCATTTTCATGGCGGAACAAGCACGACAAACTGCAATATTTCAAATAGCCTGATGGAACGTAGCCACTCTCTCGTTTATTTAAACTGAAACTGGACTTGGACCATTCAGCTTGGGCAATCAATAACAAATTGAATGCGATTTCTGGCCAATAGACAGTATTGTATTGTGCATCATAAATCGTGAAAATCAAACCAAGCAGGAAAGATGGAAAAGCGATTGAAAGCAAACAATGTAAATATTCAAAATGGCTGACATTTGCGCTATGTATGTATGTGTGTGTATATACCAGCCAGCCAGCCAGGCAGCCAGCCAGCCAGCCAGCCAGCCAGCCTGGAGAAATGGCCATAATAACCATATATATGGTAACAAAACAATGCTGGATGGCGTGGCAACATGTTAATAGCATTTCATGCACCGCTGAGATTCACATTGTTGGCATGCCAGCCAGCAACATTGGCATTGCCATTCCCCTAGCGCCACTTGCTCCATGCTTATATACAGATATGTATAGAGCATGCTTGGAGGTGCACGCTGATTGGTGCACGCCGGCCAGGTGGTTTGCCCCCACCTCCAAAGGGGGGGCGCCCGCCCATACGGTTTGCTACTGTTGCCAATCAACCCTTGGCCAATGCTGCGCTACGCTGAAATTCCTGCACAGCCTCAAGGCTGAGCCTGCGCAGCTGCTCCTTTGAAGCTTTTCACCACACTCGTGCTGTCGCGGCGAGTGTTGCGTGTGTGTGCGAGCGGGATGGCCTCTGTCGATTATGTTGTCGGAGCATAATCTGGACCAGGGCATCCGCTGGCTGGCCAGACAAGAAGGGCACATGCTTGTGCCGTTAGTTTCACTTCGTGCGTTGTCCTGCTGAGGCCAAGCCAGCGCCGCAGCGTTAGTGCCAGTGAGTGTGCCCAGCTATAGTGGCTGGCTATATCTATATATATATATATGTCTATATAAAGTCGTATATATCTTGCTTAAATAACAATTAGTTAATACTAACTTTGTGCTTTTGAAAATCAGCTGAAAAATCGTGTTGGAATTCTCGTTAAACTCTTTGGGAAATGAACACGCGTACACCTTCCAGTTCCAGTAGTCGAAAATTTCCAGTGTATATACCAAGTAGCACCCACATACAACAGCCCCCCCCGCCCCGCCCACAACTCAGTATATATACATAGCTTCCAGCTTCAGGTTGTCCTGCCACATGCGACGGAGACAGCTGCTTATGTACTTGCCCCATGTTGCAACTGTCGCATTCTGGCCGCGCCACCTGAGTTTCTGGCATTGTCTGATCCTCGCGTGGTCCATGTTCGCGCCTGACTGCCGCACAGTCTTCAGACAGAGTTGAACGCGGATCGTCAACACCATCCGCAACCGCGTCGTCGTCGTCGTCATCGTTGCTGTCGGAGATTGCCGCCGGGCTTGTCCTCAACTCTGTCTGAATTCTGTCGCGTCGGCTCTAGAGAGAGCCTAACTTTTAGTTTCTAATTAGTTTTAGTAATTTCTCTTTTTTTTTGGCGGGGCGTGTGTTGCTTAGAAATCGTGAGAAACTATAAAATTAACCTAACCTAAAAAAATCATTGGCATAACCTACTATTTGTGTCTAATCCTAACACGTTCTGTAAAAATTCGCATCTCTTGTTCTTTTTGCAGCTTAACGTGTTATGTTTAATGCGATTTGAGCTACGTCTAAATATATATATATATATATATATATATCTATAATCTGTGTACCTTATTTGTGATATCATAACCAAACAAAAATTATTTTAAAATATTAAAATTTGGTTGCATAATTATTAAATTACATTAAACAAATAACTTAAACAAAATATAACTATAAAATATAACGATAACTGGTTTGGGATTACGTGAAGCGATTACCTAATCGAGAACAGCGCCAGAATGGATTACGCAATACTTGCGAGCAATGTAAGTGAGAAACAGAGAACAACGAAAGGTCAAATGTTGAATGTGACGATTGTATATAGATAGCTATTGATTTTTCCGAGATGGAATCATATTAAAAGGTTTTGGATATTCTTAGAACTATATAAATAGAATTCCTAAAGAGAAGATGCAATATAGAGTTTGGTTTATATAATAGATATTTTTTAGAATTATTCGAATGGAATTGTTAAGAAGAAATTACAATATCTTTCGAAAAGGATTTTTTAAGGAAAAAGTGCTTGCTGTTAAAGGATGATAAACTTGCAGTGAAACAAGTTAAGTAAAAATTTATCAAGCTGGAAGTATTTTTTTTAATAATGGAACTTAAGCCCCCTCATTATTTGAATATTTAATATTCTTCTCTTAGTATATCTATCTCTTAGATCCATTCTGTGATAAATGGGGAAATAACATTTATGCGGAAAAGTTCCGCATTCAAATAACAAGAATTTTATTTATTTTTTAGAAAATTTTAAAAAATTTTAATTTAAGAAATTTTCGGTGTGCATTTAAAAGGCTTTATCTAAACTATGCTTTAATAATATTAATAGTAATATAGTGAAATTTTCTAAATAAAAAATCTGAAATACTTCTTAAACATGGAGGCCTCCCAGAAAGTTTTATCCAAGTCTCGCAGTCAGACTTTTTTTATTAACCTGAACATGTAGGAAATAATTTACTGCTCCTCCCCACCAAAGCCACCCTAAAGGAACCCAATTGCTAGTCTCAATTCCACTCGACTATCAGCTGCCAGGCAAATTTATGAACATAATCGGCTTAAGAAACGTCCTGGCAACATTTGCAACCAACAATAACAACAAATAAGACGACGAATGTGGCAAATTATGAGGCTTTTTGTAGGATTCGCTTATCAGCAGCAAAACACGAGCCCACACACAAAAATTACATTAATAATGTTGCATATCTTTTTGGCAGGCACTGTGAAAATGCAACACCTTTCGGCTACAACAACAGAAACAACGAATAGCAACAACAACAGTTGCATGGCGTCCCACTGAAGCTTCCCCCCACTCAGCCAGAGCCAGAACGAACCAACCAAAATTGAGTTATAAAATTTGTTGTTGACTGCTGCAAAATTGGCCGCCTGCTGATTCGACACGCCCAAAAGTACAGCGCTCAGCCGCCGTGAAGTAGGCAACAAAATATTTATGCGCACAAACGATAACAACAGCAACAACAACAACAAGTGAGAGCAGTCAGTGAACAAAAACAAAAAGTCCATCAACCAGCCGCATCATGAAGGGCTTGACGGCGTTTAAGGAGAAGGCGACGGGCGTTTTCAGCGGGTGAGTAGCCAGCCGAACGAATCGTATATCATGATTTTACACTGTGCAACAGAATTTGTAATCATTACAAAGCCGAAATGACCGGATATTTTCGATGGGATTATGACTGCTAAACAAAATATATATAAATATTATCGCTTGTTGGGTTAACGGCTGCCTTGAGGCTCGGCTTGAAAAATTCTTAACATATAATTGCCCGTTGTACTGGAAATATTCCAAGCCGTAAATATTTTCATATGCAATTTTCGGGCTAAATTGCTAAATTAAATCTACCAAATATGGTTAGATAAATGGTGGGGGTCGAAGTTATTTCTACTTTGTGGCAAGCTCTGCTTTATTTCTCCTTTAGATTTTGTGGCTTTTTTTGCAAGTCTGAAAAATGTTTAAAGTTTGTTGCACAGTGTCAAAATGATGACTGGGCAATATGCCGAGACTGAAATATGAATGCAATCAAATAGCTTACCAAAAAACTGAAATGAAATGAATAAAAAAAATTTAATTTAACGCAACGTTGATCAGGTTTGACTCACACCAATCTGCGTGGTTGGTTGAACTTGACCATGCAAAGGATGATGAGGGACTCGACATGGGAGCGGAGAGTAGGTGGAAATATGCCCAAGTACTTAGTTGTATAGAGAGAGAGGGGGAGTCAAAGAGATTTGCCGGCGTCGCGAAAGTTGGGCACGTGTCGCTGTCGCGCGTTGTGACGCGTCGCAAAGTTGTAAAATTATTGGCATGCTTAACAAGTCATTAAAAGCGCCGCAAGAAGTTGTAGAAGTTGCGCTCAGCATGAGTCAGTCAGTCAGTCAATCTCTCAGTCAGTCAGCCGGTTAGTCAGTAGTTCAGTTAGTTAGTCAATCAGTCAGTTAGTCAGTCAGTGAGTCAATCAGTTAGTCAATCAGTCAGTCAATGAGTCAGTCAATCAATCTCTCAGTCAGTCAGCCGGTTAGTCAGTTCAGTTAGATAGTCAGTAGTTTAGTTAGTTAGTCAATTAGACAGTCAATCAGCCAACCGGTCAGTCAGCCAGTCAGTCAGTCAGTTAATCAGTCAGTCAATCAGTCAGTAGTTCAGCCACTCAGACAAAAGGATAGTCAGTCATTCAATCAGTCAGTCTGTACATCAGTTAGTTTGGTCTCCAGAACATGGGAAAGTTAGCCCGTCAATCAATCTGTCATTCCGTCAGTCAGTTACTCTGTCCATCAATCACCAGTTATGAAGCATCGCAAAGTTATGAAATTAGTGAGACGCCTAAAAATTTCTTTGAAAGTTAAAGAACTTGCGCACAACTTAGTTCAGTCAGGCAATCACTCAGTCAATCAATCGGTCAATCAGTTAGTCGGTGCATCAGTCAGTCAGTTTGCCCGTCAGTTATGGTGGGAATGAACGCAACGGCATGCCGAGACATTCAGGATGCTCACCGTTGGCTCAGGAATTCCGTGCACGTTGCCAGCTGCGGCACGTGCTCAAACGGAAGCCGGCGCCAGCTCCTGAGGCAGCTGCTGTGGCAAACACATCGAGTGCTAGTTGCTGGCGCAAACAACACAATAAAGAGTCATGAGAGTCATATTGGGCCAGCACAGGAGCAAGATGTGTGTGAATATTTCTGGTATGCAATTTTATGAGCACGCCCTCACGCGACACAGGACTCAATGCGAGTGAAATTGTACAACTGATTTCTCAAGGACTTTTCGGGGCGCAAATTAGAAATTGGAACAATAGGTGAGCTGCCATTGTGGCTCGCTTTCATTAAGGAATGTGTGAAAAAAAAGAGTGTGTATTGCATACCAACAGGCAACAGGCAACGGGCAGGGGCTGCTTGAAATTCAAAAGGCTGCACGCAAATGAAATTGATTTTTACGAGCCATTCAATGGTTGCCAGGATGCCAACCGCACACAGGATCTGTAGCTGAAGCTGAGTGGCACTCGAAGAGCGCGTCGCGAAGAAATTCCAGATGCGTGTGCAACTTCAAGGACAAGCTGCCGCCTCTCAGCGCCAGCTCCTTTGTTGTAAATGAAATTAGAATTGTCGAGTCGAGTCGAGTCGAAGGAGTCGCACTCTCTCGTGACGCTGACAAGCCGCCAAGTCAAACATTTGGCCCCATTTTCAAGCTAAATGCCCGCCTAATGGGCGCGCCATTGTGGCCAAGTTAAAGCAACCTTCATGCCAACTGCCAGCTACCACAACTGTCTTCAACTGACTTCGCGGCGCCAGTTAGCTATAATCTATGCGGCGCCGAAAAGTCTGCAAAATTTTTACTGACAATCAAACGCGCCAAACAAGTGGCTGAAAAACTTGCGCAATAGTTTATCAAGGCGGCGAAAAAAAATAACAAGAAAACAGAGAGCCAAACACAATTCAAGTTTTTCTTAGCACGAATTTGATATGCACTTGCCAATTTTGTATTTATTATCAAGCTGTACAAAAAATGTAGCATAAATATTGGACAAACTTTCATTTAAATTGCCAGCTTTGCGTGATGAAAATTTTTCTGCTTCAAAATTCTGACATCAATTTTCCACCCAACCTATGAAACATGTAATTTTCTATTTGACCTTTGAAAATGAGCTTTAAGGCGTTCGAACGATAGACAACATAATTCAAGTTTTCCACACATGTTCCTCAGCTATGGGCGGAATACACAAAACCGCTGAAAACGTAATTAATGGGTCTATATAGGTCTATACGGAACTGAAGACTTTGATCCATACAAACTTGGACGCCCATTTTCCACTCTGGTAGGTGGATTTGCCGAAATGTAGGAAACACGTCTTTGAAAATGAGTTTGAAGCGGATTCGATGTTAGGAAATAAAAGAGAATGTAACTGTTTTTCACCAATTTTCCACACTGGCGGGTGGAATTCTAAAAATCCCGCTTGTGCATTAAAATCAGTTAAGATACACTGTAGAATATGAAATTTCTTAGCTCTAATTGATTGTGCTTCTCAGTTATTATCAATCAGCCAGTCAGGGCAAACAGTTTTGTTTTCAAGCTAAGAAGAAGCTTTTGTTTGAAAAAACAGATAATTACCCGAGGATATAGCATTATCCTTGCCAATAGCTATCGCTGTGTCTTTTCAATGCCTGACAAACATTGCGACAAAGTTCCAATGTTCACAATGCATAAATGTATGCGAATGGCCATAAATAGCGCATAAAATTGGCGTCAGACGAGCCGGCATTAAAGTCGGTCAAGGCGCAAGGACTACAAGGAAGCTGCGTGACCAGACGAGGGTAGCTTTGCCGGCAGACAGTTGAGTTATGTGACAAACGGCGACGACGACGAAGACGACGCTGGGAAGTTCGGATGTGGCTCTGCTCTACAGTAGTGGCATTTTTTTTTCTTCTTGCTGGTGGCTTCTTATTAGTTTGTATTGGGGCGGGGGCCAGGCGAATGTCTGGATATTTATGAAGAGAAATGCCAGAGAGACTGAGGAGAGCAGGGAGTTGTTAACGCAGCCTCTGATGAGGTTATCAATGCTGATGTGTCACTTAGGCAGGGTTAATGCGGCCTTTGCCGCTGCTCCCGCCACATGGCCATGCATTAGGCCAAAATACACACAGGCTGTCATCAATCAGCCTTTGTCAGTGCGGTAAACGCTGTTAAATGGCGAGCTTTAAGCCGCAATCTGATTTATAAATCAAGAGAAATCAAATCGAGGGACGTTAAAAAATCGCTACCTGGCAGCCAAATCGACTTGAAATGTCCCCCTGGTCTATCGGCACTTAATAAAATTGAATTCTATTTCAATTGGATGACTCGATGCCAACCCCCAAAAGAAGCCGCAAATGCCGCTGGGAAAACAACAGGCAGCAGCAGGCCAGCAGGGGTTTCTTATTCTAACAAGCTGAAAATATTTGTGTTTTTACACGCTGTTCCCCCTGACCAAATGCCCCTCTCCCTTTCTCCCTCTCTCTTGCTCACCTGTTGCTGCCCCATTTGGCTGCAACTGTCAACTAATTGGCATGAGTTATGCCCTCTGTGTTCTCCTTACCATCTTTGCAGCCTCAAGCCGAATATGGAGAAGTTCGAGATATCGCAGAGCTATCATAGCGGACACGGTGGCTATGAGGAAATGGAGGGCGCCGAGCGCGAGGGACGCGGCCCCGGCGGCGGACATGCCTATGACGACGACGACGATCGACCGGACTCGCCCGCCTCCTTCGAGGAGATCGAACGGCCGCCGCTGCGCAAAATCGACAAGTACTGCAAGGCGGAATGCCCCTGCATGCCGGCACGGTACACCATCGCTACAATGGCCTGCGTGGGATTCATGATTGCCTTCGGCATGCGTTGCAACATGTCAGCCGCCAAGCTTAAAGGCGAGCACAATGGGGTAAGCAGCCATTCCTTGCTAAAAAGAAGATCAACTGACAGACGAAACTGGTCAGACGAAATATGGAATATATAATGCCCTTGCAGAGAGTATTCTAATTAGGTCTTCACCTGTGTACACGGCATGGAAGCAGAGTTCCAAGTCAGTAGCAACAATCGATTCAATATCGATTTCTTTAAAGTCAAGTCCGTCTGTCCCTCTAACTTCCCTATTCCATGTTAAACAGCTTAAATTTTATCCTCTGGAAACTTTGCATAGGTCCGACTTTCTATTGCATTACATATGTATATTGAAATTGGTCGCATCGAACGACTATATTATAAATCTGAATAACTCTGATCAACAACGACGGATCCCTATATCATGAAATTAATTCAAATAGCTGTATGGGAAAACTCAACGAAAAATGTAACAATTTTCTAGCATTTTTCCAAGGTGAGGCTTTTGTGCGTATTACGCATTAAGTTATAAAAAGTATTTTCTTCAAGAATATATTGACCATATATATGATTTATTGACCATGTATTAGCCATATGATACGAATCCGGAAAAATCCATAGAAAATGAGTTTTTATTTGGAAAAAATATCTAGTTCTTAACAAGATACATATGAAGACTTTAAAGTTCATCAGATAATTAATGCAAAACTTATAAAAAGTTGCTTGATATTAAATAACAAGAACAAATATTTTTAAGCAACTTAAATATTTATTATTGAAACAAATTTCAAATGTTTTTCTTCAAGTGAATAACTGAAATATAAAATATTTTAATACCATCTAAAGAGACATAAAAGACATGTGTGGAGTTTGGGATTAAATTTGCTTCATTTGATGGCAAAGCTGTTGTCAATTAGAGTGTATGTGTGTGTGTGTGTGTGCGTTTACCCATCACTCAAAAGTCACACACATAGCCACGCCCACCGACAAACACCCAAACACACACACACATACACACATAGCTTCCGCTTGGCGCTCGTTAATAAAGCCCCGCGGCACAAATTTTAATGATTGTGACTCTTCCTCTTTGGCTCTTCCTCCTGCTCTCTCTCTCCGACTCAATCTCTTTGACACGCTCTCTCTCCCCCCTCTCTTTAGACTGTCTTTATGAACTGGACGGTTGCTGTGGAAAGCCATGTGGATTCATCCTTCTTCTGGGGCTATCTGGTTACACAAATACCCGGCGGTTTTATTGCATCCAAGTTTCCGGCGAACAAGATTTTCGGGCTGTCGATTGTCAGCTCCGCCTCGCTGCATCTGTTTGTGCCCTTCGCGATGACTCTGATGCACGGCCATGTGGTCATATGTGTGCGCGTGCTGCAAGGACTCTTTGAGGTAAGTATACAAGAAAAAAACAACATCTAAATTCCAAATCAAATTCGATTTCGATTTCGAATTTTTCGCCAACCCGGCGACAGATCAAAGCCAAGGATTACATGACTAGCTTTGGGGGCGGGGGCGTTGTCTGTGCCGGGGGTGGGTGTGGCGGGTAAGTGGAAGGATTTTGCTTTATGATAAAGCAAATATGTGAAATGAAAACATTTCCTAAGTCGGGGGTTGGGCACAGAAAAAAAAAAGAAAACGAAAATAACAAAAGCATTTATTTTAATGCGATTTCTTTGTGTGCGTTTGAGTGTGTGCGAGTGTGTGTGTTCGCCAGTTTGGCTTGGCAATCATTTTGAGCAACTGCCTCTCTCCATCCACAGGGTGTAACATATCCAGCTTGTCACGGCATTTGGCGCTTCTGGGCGCCACCCATGGAGCGCTCCCGCCTGGCCACATTGGCCTTCTCCGGTTCGTATGCGGGCGTCGTTGTGGGTCTGCCGCTGTCCGGGCTGCTGGCCGATGCCGTTAGCTATCAGGCGCCCTTCTATGCGTATGGCGCATTTGGCATCATTTGGTACATGTTCTGGATCTGGCTGTGCTTTGAGAATCCGCGCAAGCATCCCGCCATTAGCATACCCGAACTGAAGTATATTGAGAAGTCGCTGGGCGAATCGGCGCATCCGACGATGCCGTCGTTCAAGACAACTCCGTGGCGTCAAATAATGCGCTCCATGCCCGTCTATGCGATAATAGTGGCAAATTTTTGCCGCTCCTGGAACTTTTATTTGCTGGTGCTGTTTCAGTCGTCGTTTCTCAAGCACAAGTTTGGCTTTAAGGTAGAGGAGGCGGGATTTGTGGGCTCGTTGCCCCATTTGATAATGACCACAATTGTGCCCTTTGGCGGCATGTTGGCGGATCATTTGCGCAAAAATGGCATACTCTCTACGACGAATGTGCGCAAGCTCTTCAACTGTGGCGGCTTTGGCATGGAGGGTCTATTCTTTCTATTTGTCGCGCATTCCTCCACGGCGGTGAGTATTGGGCAGTGAGGCAGGTGATTGGCCTCTCGATATATACAGCATGTCCTCCTTGTAGACGGGCGCTATGTTTGCGCTGACCTGCGGCGTCGCCTTCAGCGGCTTTGCCATATCCGGCTACAATGTGAATCATTTGGATATTGCGCCTCGATATGCGAGCATCCTGATGGGCTTATCCAATGGCATTGGCACCTTGGCTGGCATCATAGTGCCCTATGCGCTGGACGGGCTCATCCAAGCGAATGTAAGTTGAGATTTGCTCAGGTCTTGGTTTAGCTACCGAGTTACCCAAGCTTTTTGCTCTGATTACAGCCCACGGGTTGCTGGACTACGGTGTTTACACTTGCCGCTTGTGTTCATCTGATTGGCTGCACTTTCTATGGCATTTTTGCCTCCGGCGAGCTGCAGCCATGGGCCGAGCCGCCGCCTGAGGAGCAGCAGGTCTGGGCGCCTCCAGCGGGCGCCATAACACACGATGATCCCAGCCAGGCGGGCATGCTGGGCACCTACATGAAGGAGACACAATTTGTAAGTCGGGCAACACGCCAGGGCTAAGGCACTTTGGCGACACAATCTAACCCCTCCTGCCATGTTTCCAGGGCGCACCGGAATATACGGAGCAGAGCCAAATGCAGCAACCGAATGCCATTAGCTATGGCGCCACCGGGCACGTGGCCAACAATCCATTTGCATTGGCGGCGTCTGCACCCATTGCCGAGGAGCCCGCCCAGCCGCCGTATGTGGACAATGCCTACGACTACACGCAAGGACAAATGCCGCCCTCAACGAATCCCTACGAGCAGCCGGCCTATCAGCAGCAGTAAGAGAATCAATGCCACAATCTGATCTAACTTAGCTTTTAGTTCTAGTCCAAAAGCCGTTTATTGTTTGTTCCTGATGGGGTTGATTTGTATATAAGATACTATACGCGATATATTTAACTGAAAGACCATTAACTGTTCAGCAACTTTTCAGGCCGAGTCTAACGAATTTCTACATAAACAAAAAACGAAACAAAACAAAACTCTCACGACACTAACACAATGAAACTATGTACCTAACAGAGCAACTACATATTGTACGCGAAAGATATCGTTTAACTTGGCGCCGCACACAAATCACAAGAAATAAAATAATAACGAATAGTGCCGTAGTCGGGAGTGCACGACTGGGAGATACCCTGAACCCAACGACGAGCTGCCGTTGCAGATATTTGAACTGATTTCTATCTCTATGCACGGCAAATCCTTCCTTGTTTAACTTTGGGACTTATGGTCCGATCCAAATGCAGTTTTTAGGGCTTCTATGTGGCACAAAATAGTGTGTGTATACCCTGTAAAAATTAGTCTTCCTTAATTCTGTTGAAATAGGGGAAGTATCTAAATATTGAAATATTCTTAATCTGCATTGAGACTTATGATCCGATCCAAATGCAATTTTCAGGGCTTCAATGTGGCACAAAATATACCCTGTAAAAATTATTTTTCCTCAATTCTGATGAAATGGGGAAGGTATCTAAATATTTAAATATTCTTAATCTGCATTGCGACTTATGGTCCGATCCAAATGCAATTTTCAGGGCTTCAATGGGGCAAAAAATAGTCTTTGTATACCCTGTAAAAATTAGTTTTCCTCAATTCTGTTGAAATAGGGGAGGTATCTAAATATTGAAATATTCTTAATCTGCATATACTATATACGAGAGCCTGCATACCAACTTTAGTGTATCTAGTTCTAATAATCTTCGAGTAATGCCTAAGTAAGCTATATCTCGAAATCGATATTTATCGAGAAGATTCTTTCTAATTTTCAGTGGGTTCGGGGTATAAATAGAGAACAAAATCAAATATATAGTCTACTTTTAAGCATCGCTTACGCGAAATTTCTATTTACAAGCTCCAGCATATTAATAAACAAATCGAAAAATTAACAATTATAATATTTGACATTTGTGTATATCATAAACAGACATAATCCAGAAACAAACATAGCACGTCTCAAGCCGTTATTGAAATATTATTATAAATAATTTAAAACCATAAATTATATAGTCACTTTATAGCTACATATATTATAATATATAGCAAATTATTGTTGTTAACTATGCAAGTAGCTAAAGAAAAACCGAAAATGAAAATGTAAGTGAAAACTGCAAGTTGTATTACCGTTGATGATATTCTTCTGTGTATGATAAACACCCGGCTCTAGATGTCATATATATCTGGGCATTAGTAAATTTTAATCTAAACAATTCTAAACAATAAGCAATTGTTGATGTTCGGCACGAATGATAAACTCTAAAATCCATATAAACATATACTTATGCATTATATAACAACTATTAATCAGATATACATATAGTTATGGTATTTTAGTTCGTTATGTTGTCATATATACATATGCTTTTGTATTTGCACGTTGGTTCAGCAGGACTTGAACATGGCATGATATAGGTACTAAAACATATACTAGCTTAGGCTGATAGTAGCTAGCATTAGACGCTAATAACCTCAGCATTGGTCTTCATATGCTCTTCGATACATCGTAAATATTTTACTCTAATAGTTTTTCATATAACGTAAAGAACAAGATGTCTATAATAAAAATCTGCTGGGTCTTAAATTAATATACGATTTCTTGTAATAAATATAACTTCTTTTTAAATTAAGGTATTTATTAATTAGAATTATTTGAATATTATTTTCTTTCAACTTCTTTTGTTTATATTATTTTAAATATTTCCTTAGTTATTTTATGTTTTTGCTGCACTTTCTTCAAAATTAATGCACACTTTAATTTATTATTAAAAACAATATAGTATTATTCCTTATTATAATTATATATATTTTACTGCATTTAAATTGATTTTAGAAATATATAAATATTAACATAAATATTATGAATATTATAATTAATTAATACAAATATTTATGTTTTTTATTCATATAAATCTAAATTTCTTTTTAAATGCACTCAAAAGTTAAGTTAAGCTCAGCAGAACTTTTTGTTATTAATATTTAACAAAGAATTTTATTGTACATAGAATAGCACAAAATAGCACAAAGTTAAAATATAAATGTATTCATATTTAATTATGATTTAAGTCCTTCTTATTTTGAATTTTATTCATTGCACTTTATAGATTTATTGCACAGATATGTTTTTTCTTTAACTTTATATTATGCAATTCACCTTGAAAATATTTCCTTTACACTTACCTTGAAAGCACTCTCTTAGTTTTATCATTTATTTTTAATATAATTTAACTTTTATATTCACTCTGCTTCATCATTTGTTTTTAATATAATTTATCTTTTATATAGACGCACTTACTTTGTAGACATCACCAATAATCGTATTAAATGTATTATATAACAGCAAAAAAAGTACTTAGTAGCGAGTATTATATAACAAAAATGTAATATTAATCAAATTATTCACAATTAAATCACTATGTATTAATAAAATGTGAAAATTTTCTAACTAAAAGAGTCAATTCTTATACAGTAATTTGTACAGAGCAGCGAATATATTATATAAATACATATTTAATAATTATACATACATATTTAATAATTATCTAGAGCGTAATTAAATAATAATAGATTTTAAATGTTATTGTATAATTATGTGTGTTGATTAGTCAGCTCAGCTAAATATTGGCTAATGACTATTACATATATAGTATATATACTAAAAATACCAACTTGTGTTTGCACAATTAATTAATTAAATTAATCTGATCAAAACAAGAACAAACTGCTTGTGAAAGCGACAATACCTAGTTAAATAAGCTTTGTTATTCATAAATTATATAAAAACATATACTATTATTTAAATATTTAGAATTTTCATTGATTTTAAATTCTGGCAAAATTTTGATGCTTTTCTACTGAAATTGCAGCAAATAACAAAATTTTGGCCATTGGGGCGTATGTGTAATATTAGCATTATTCAATTAAAGTCTGTATATAAATGGCATAAACTATAAAAAAGAAATGCTCAGAACTATATGTAGTTATTATTGAATACATATACATAAATATAAATAAACGTATGTGTGTCTTTAAACGTTAAAAGCGTTCGTGACAGGAGAGATGAACATAACCGAGGCTCTCCATTGTCATTAGCTAACTTATCTATCTATATAAAATTTGAATTGTATTATTTCCATATATGATTCTAATTATTTGTTGAGAGACACCGAAGCTCTCAAGGCTGTGTGGACAATAATAACAAATATGTTAACGAAAAGCCACAGTGTTTTTTGTTTAAAACTAAACATTTAAAACTCTAGCTAAAGCCATAGTAACATACATATTTATGCATATAATTACGAAACAGTTGAACATTTGACCGGACAGTCTGTACATATGGATGCAAACATAGCTAAATGCCATCATTAAATGCTTTTGTGAGTAATTTAAGTGTACATAAAAAAAAAAACATATTTAAATAGTTAAAAACAAAACCATAAACTGGCAAAAAACGAAGAGCACAATTGCAATGAATATCATTTAAAGCCCATCAAATGCGCATTAAACATGAACCGGTTATAACTAGGGTACTCCAACATGAATGTGTCAGTAAATAAATTACATTCATAGTACTTACATAGGAGCTCTATGAATACACTCATCAATTGTCAGATATATTTAGACGCACAAATAACACACACACACAAACAAATCTAAGCTCTAAACCATATAAATGTAAAATGTACTAAGAAAATAAAAGTTGGAAATATTCTTTTCAAAATTGATAAAAATATTAATAATACTTTTTGAACTTTCTGAAGAGTTTATTCCATTTATTCCTGCTATGTATATATATATTTTTAATTCAATTTCAAACCAGTTTCTTTGTGTTTTTCGTGTGTTTAGTTCCAAATTTATTAAATGTATAAAATTAAAAAAAATATATATATATAAATAATAACAAATAACAAAATGCAAGCTCCCTTTTCTGGCAACACCCGCCCATGTTGTATAATTTTATGATCTAGTAAAAAAAGGGTTCTCAAAATATATTATAATATATGCTGATATCCAACCCAAAAACAACAACATACATTATGGCTACTATAAATCAATTAATAAGAATTGAAAATAAAAAAAATTAATAAAATAGCATTTGAGTTGCACAAAAAATTGGACTTAATTAAACACCAATACTGTTATACGAAAATTGATTCATAGGCCCCATCTTGTAACCCGACTATACGAACCACAATATACGACTACGATATAAAGGCTTAACAAATTATACCTAAACAAATGTATTTGGAATTCAATAAAATGAAAATGTTAACAAATTATGCCAAAAAAAAATAAGAAATGCAATTTGTTTATTAATTCAAACAATTTTATTATGTATTTTTTCTATTATAGTTTTATTCAAAATTCCAGCAGAGCGTCGGGCTTACAACTTAATGATTAGATTTAGATTTGTACAAGACGCGGACAATTGGAGCCGGCTTTTTCGACCCCCCAACGACGATGGCGGCAAATAAAAACTAAGCAAAAACAAATGAAATAAATACAAGTACGTAATTAGGAAACAACAACTAAAATCACATGAGTGCTACAGCATAAAACAGAACTTAATTATATTCAAGTCGGTAAGTCCATTAACGCCGTACGCCCTGGTACTCGCCATTGGAGCGCCCCTTGCCCGGAAATCCCCTGGCAAAGGGCGCCTTCGCATTCGTAGTTACATAATAGTTGCCACGTGCCCTGTTTTGAAATAGGTTGTATATATTTTTTTCAACTTGATAATATGATATTATAGATTCATTAATACTTACTTATGCGAACAGTGCTCGCCCATGAGCACATAGTCCGAATCCTTGGGCTCGCACCAGCCTATCAGATAGGTAAATAGGTTGGGACAGGGTCCCGCATAGAAGCCACGCTTTGTTGTTATCGATTCGATAAAGTACGGCGTGACCTTTGTGTGATCGCAGGCCAAGGTTTCTAAAGTAATTAAAAAATGTTATTAATAAGCGTCTAACAAAAAGGGTATTCCTCAGATTCTTAAATGTATTTCTATATATCTTTTCTCCTTAAAGACATTTCATATATCAAAGCTGTAAATATATTAGGGAACGCTTCAAGCCAACTGGAAAACCACAACCATGAAGGCAGGTCTTTGTTTAAACTTGAATCTAAAATTTATATTCAATATTTTAATTCATAAATTTTATTTTTTATTTACAGTCGCCCGTTGTACTGAAAATATCGTTATCCTTAGGTTGTTTCATATACACGATGCGGGCTAAATTTGTTCTCTACCCAACAGTGGCATCTACCACATATGGTTGATAAAGCCAATGTTTGGGGCCCAATTTCTTATGCTTTGGGTCTTAAATGTTTCTTTTTTTAATTTTTACTTTGAACTCAACTTTTCTGGAAAAATATGTATTTCGGTTCGCTAAAGCCGGTTTGCATCTCATTTCTTAATAAATACAACTCGCTAATTGTCGCTTATTTAAAATCGATAGTCATAGCTTAATTCCACGCATCGATATTTCGATTATTTCCAAGCGATAAATATCGTTTTTCCCCTTTCTTCATAAACACATGTCACCCACTTTCCACTATTTAAAATCTATAGTTGCTGCTTGATGCTGCCTCCATCGCTATTTCAATTTCATTTAATCGATATTTCGACTATTCCTAATCGATAAATATCGCTATTTTCTATGATTGTCTTGATCAAAATAGAATAATCGTGTTTCGATAACTTGTAATCGATAACATTTATTTAGTTTATTTTAGTTGAAGCTTATTCAACTTTAATTAGACTTACGAAACAACGTGGCAGAGCCCACACACGCCGGTTGTCTGGTGCCTCCATTCACATAGAAGTCCGCATGGCCACTCGAATGCCACTGGCCAAGTATTCCGGCGCCCGTGTGCAGCACGTCCACAAAATGGGCATCGCTGGTGTCCAAGTCCCGTGAATTATTCGCACCGGCATAGAAGAATATGGTGGGATCGAGTGCCGTAATGCGTCCGATCTTGCCCTCCTCGGGCTTCAAATAATTGGCCACCAAGCCCGCAATATGCGCGCCCACGCTGTAGCCAATAAAGTGCAGATCATCCGGCTGAACGCCGCGTGGATGCCGTGCCAGATACTTGACCAGCTGGGAGATGCAGAGGCTGCCAAAACGCGGTGACCACTCCATTTGACTGAGGCACGGCTCCTTCACCGCATTGCTGTAGTCCACAATGATTATGTTGTACTCGCCAATGGTGAAGTACGCCTCGCGTAGATCCGGACTGGGACTGAAATCACGTCCGCCGCCAAAGCCATGAATGATGATCTTGGTGGGATGGCGTGGATTGAAGTGTGTATAGTACAGCGCATTGGGATCCAGCACGTCCAGATATTCGGGCTGTTCCTGTGTGCGACGCGTATACAAATAGAACTGGATCTTGGGATGCGGACACCGATAGGGCTTCTCCAGGCAAGAATCCGTTATGTAGACCTGCGATTGATTTTGACCCGCGGCAACAGCAGCAGCCACAACAGCCGCGTTTTGTCCAGCTGCAAAATGGATGAAATTGAAATGTGTTTATATAGCTTTGGACTATGACAGCCGCCTCCAACGACAGCCGCAACTCCCAGTCCACCTCCGGCTCTGACGCTTAGGCCAAACGAGTTTGGCCAGCCATGGAATTAAGCTGGAATTACATAAGCGCCATGGCGCTGCTGCCGCCTGGTGGCGACATTGAATGTTGCCGATTTGCGGCAAAGGCAAATGTCATGAAACTGCAATTGCCACATTTGCAAGCACAATTGCTGGCAAGCTGTGCCGCCTCCGGCTGTGGCTGCAACATTTCTTCAATTGTGGCAAAAGTAAAAGTCAGCCAAAAGCGCCCCAAAACGGAAGTTTGCCTCGCGCAACAAGCACTCGTTTGCTTGTTGTTGTTTTTGTTTTTGTTAGTTGTTGTTGTTGCAAGTTGTTGCTATTTATAACACAAACACCGTGACGTGACATAACTGGACGCTGCTTGTGTGATTCATTTCAACAACCATAAGGAAAACCCATATTTGATGAGCTCATCTGAACAGCTGCCTCAACAGAAAGCGAAGATGTGCGCATTTCCGTTCACAGAAAGAACCAGTTCCAGTGAATTCAGATCGTGAATAATTCGAAATTGGGAAATTGGAAAGTGAGAGCATTTTAAAAGGCCTAAAATTATTCTGTTCAAATTTAAAACTTTTCTGTTACAAATAATCTAGTTTTTCTAATCTCGAATTTATCTATTACTTTTTTGGGAAGAAAAAGTATCAGTCTGCAAATCTGAATTCATAACTAAGACTAATTGAAAATGTATAAAAGTATATAAATGCATATGTACTAATGTATATATAAGGTTTTCAAAAGCAGTTATATGGGATATTCTAGAAAGAAAACTTTCTTATACAAGTTGCATTTTTTTCGAAGAAAAATTTTCTTAGTTACAAGAAAAAGATTTCGACAGTTTTCATATATATCGTATTTTGAACACCAAACTTCTTCAAGAAGTCAATTTTATTATTTTCAATTGATATGCAGAACTAGTTCGTAAAATTTTATATTTTTTAAAACCAAAGTGCGTTGATAAGTTATGTTAGGAATAGTTAACAACATTTACTTTATGTTCATTTGCAAATCTGAATATTATAAAGTTAAAGAGTGCTTAAGATTTTTGGATTTTGAAATATATTTATGAGCTATTCAAGTAAGTTTATGTACCTGCGTTTCTTAACTTTATTATTATTTTGTTATTAAATTTGTTTGGTAATAAATTGTTGTAAATGAGCCATAGAATAAGCTCGCATCTCGAAAGTACTTTCTTAGTCTTAAATTAAAATCCATAAGCCTGTTTAGCTCCTTATTTTTTAATATTCAATTTTGCAAGTAGTCAAAAAGTTTAAAGTAAGTTATTGGAACCAGTTTACGTACAAAAAAAAACAAATATTTTGAATTCTTGGAACCAGTTTTTGTAAACAAATGTGTGGCTTAATTTTGGAACCAGTTTTTGTTTGAAAAAAAATCTGAAAAAATGAGTGTCTTACAATTATTACAGACTGATCGATTTAAAGTATAAGTTCAATGAACGGAATTTCTTGATATTTGTGATTTAGCTTGAGAATTGAGCAATATTTTTGATTTAGGTTGAGAACTAAATGAACAAGCTAAAAATAAGGAACTACTTTAAGGCCAGACAACAGCCAGCGCTAACTGACAACCAAAATCTCAGTCTCACGCGTACAATATTACGTTGCGTTTTGAATTTTTATGAGCTTATTAAAAATGAAAAAAAAAAAATCGTAAAGAATCGGCCTTCAGTTAATCAACTAGCTGGCCAATTGGCCCACTTGTTAGCGGCTTAGATGCTATACGAGCTGCCTGATGTTGCAATGCAACCGGTCTGCAACTGTTGCAGTTGCAGTTGCAGCTACACTTCACACTGTGATCACTGATCAGTGATTAGTGATCGTAACCTGCGCCTTTTAGGGCATCCGGCATTAATAAACGGCTCACCTCATGGCACAGTGAACAGGCGGGCAACTAGTTGGTTCAGTTGGTCCGTCTTTGGGACTGGCTAACATCTCTCCTTATGACAAGTTGTCACAACGTTTCAATACACTCTACGCACATTTGAGTGCATAAAGTACATACGCATATATATGTTTGCTCTGTCCGAATAATTGTTGATGATGATTACAAAACTTCAAAAACTGAGGACTTTGAATTTGGAAAGTCATTTCTCCTATGGAAAATAAAATAAATAAATAGAAATCGATAAAAATCGATATCAATAAACTTTTTGTTGAGTACATCTTTTAGATTATACAGGCTGATGATCGCATCTGACTGTCTGACTATCTGAGCTGAGGACTTCAAGTTTGGAACGTTTGTATTAGTAAGGCAAGTTTTATTTACAAATTTTCGATGAGTTCCCGAAATCGATAACAATAAACTACTTTTCAGGCATATTTTATAGAATATACAGCTAGACGATCGCATCGATGGACTATCATAGTTGTTGACTTGACATTTGGAATGCAAGCTCGCATATGATCGATAACTGCCACGAAATCGATAAAAATCGATAGCAGCTAACGCCACAGATTTGCTGAGCACAGTGTGTCTTGTAGCTGGACACACCCGACTAGTCCGCTCTTATTTGTCATTTACCAACTTATGCATGCATGATGCGATTGTTTTGCACAATCCGAAAAGCTATTGCGACCGGGGAGACCAGCATAATTCAGTTAACAAATGCGTCTTATGTTGACCAGCTCTGACGGGCCGGGCTTTCGGCTCCCCCGCATTGCAATTAGCAATGGGCCGAGCCGTGTTTCTGCATCAATTGCGACGAGTTTTCTGTTTTCTGTTTTCTGCCCGGTTTTCAGTTACCTTTTTTCACAATCGCTGCGCTGCTTCGTGGGCCGCCAACCGTTTGCGTCGTCTTTTTTTTTTTTTTTGGCTTATGTAAGTTGGCTGCGACTGGGACTGCGACATGGACGTGTACTTGGACTCCGGTGGCAGCATTACGAATGCCAATTATATGTCTTTTTTTGTTGGTCTTTTATTTTTGGGGAAAATCTGGTGTTGAAATCGTGAAGTACATTAAATGACCAGCCGCACGCCGGAAAAGTCAAATAAAAATTCAAATCGAAACGATGGCCAAATAGTTCCAGAAACCCCAAAAACGGAAGCACCAAATGCGGAAGACACAAGCGGCCAACGGCAGAGTAATAGCAACAAACATACAACAATGAATGCAGCACTAGCAACAACAAAAACAACAATATCAACAACAACTGCAACAACAACAAAACTTGAGACGTGCTCATCATTTGGTGCTTCGTGTTTGCGCGCAAGTGAAAGATGTTTCGGGTTTACTTTTATTCGAATACGCTTATAGAGGGTATTTTAATTATATCATGAAATTTGTAATAATTAGAATGACGTTGTTGAGAATATATATATATGGGATATAACCTGGTCCGTCTGTGCGTATGCCTGTCTTGTTTGTGTGAGTTAGTTCTAAGGCTATGGGCACTAAACATTGCATAGACATGTAAGGAAGTACATATATGTACTTCCGGATTTGCCCACTATATCATATAGTTGCCATGGGAAGGGTCGGTCGAAAGTTGGGCTCCGGAGATAGCTTGACTAAACTCGGATTTATTCATTTTGGTATACTCCATAAGACTATATAAGCAAAATTTTATCAATATCAAACAACTATAACATATAGCGTTATAGGAAATATCGTTTTTCTGTATTTTTCTTTCTTGAGTTATCTTCTCTAAACCCACATAAGAGCGAGAGTGTAAGCCATGTTTCCACAAGGGTATTTATTTTTCGGTGTGTTAGCCGTTCTTTCTGATTTTATTTGTATCTTTCTTATTGTCTGTCTCTCTTTCTGTCTCTCTCTCTCTTTCAGTCTCTCTCTCCCTCTTCCGCTCTCTGTTTGTTTTGCTTTTGAATTTTATAATTTTCTTTTTTAATGGGTTTTATAGGTTTTTATGCTGCGGTTTTCCAGTTGTTCAAATTGTTTGCCATGAATCATTTGCACTGTTTCTTGTGGTTTTCTTTTTATGCAGTTTGTTGGCCAGCAGATGGCTTGGTATCAATATCGAATTACATTGGGTTTTCGAGATAATTGCATAATCTCATGTATTTGTAGTGAACTCCGCCAGAAGCTTGAAACACAATTTGCGTTTAGTGTGATCTTAGCCAGGAATTTAATAAAATAAATTATGTTATAAAAAATAAAAGTTTTAGCTTATGAAAAATGTATATAAAAAGTTGTTTGACTTTGAAATCGGTTTACTCTGAACATAATGTCTTTACATTATTCTTTATATTTGATAGAGACTAAAAAAATTTTCTTATTAACATTACTTAGATAGATTTTAAATAGGAAAAAATATTTAATAAAAAATATAATATAATAGAGGCTGTTCCCTTGCCAATTTCTGTTTAAATTTTGGTCTATATATTGAAAAGAATTTTTAATATATAAAAGAGGCTGTACCCCCCAAAATCTTAATTTTTAATTTTTGGATATTGAAAAGTTGAACAAAACTCTATATATAATTTTGTTTCCGACCATTAGTGTAGAATTATTACCTTGTTTACATTACTTGCAGCACAGTGTAATTAGAATGCAGCAATGTGGCACAGTTTCCTTCTATCAAATTTCGGCTGCCAACTCGTTGAGCGAAGGCCAACCATGTTGTAATTAAAAACAATTTATTTATTTATGTTTGTTGCAAAACTATGCCACATGCCTAAGGTAATCCAAATTCCTGACCAATACGCTGGCAAATAAAATTCATATATGCATAATCAAAAGACTAAATCACTAATAAATTAAGCTCAAGTCGAGCAGAGTTGAAGTTTAGCTGAAGTAAATTCTCGCTCAACAGTTCCCACACAGCTCAAGCCTCAAGCAAGGTGCAGTCTAGACTGCCTATAAGCTCTGCTTCACTTTAATTAAAGTCAACCGCAAATAAACAGTCAGTACTTGACTTTGGCCGTCGGCTGCCTTCGGGGCTGCCATGACACGTACTTTTGCAGTGCGCATACGCCCCATTAGCCGGGCGCACGGCCAGAACAAGCCGGCAATGATAAATACACGTTTGATGGCACCTTTGACAGTGGAATACCCCCAAAAACAACAAAAACAACAACAACAATATTAATTAAAATAAAAATAACAATAAGCAAATGGCACGCTTAATAATCTTGAGCAGCAATTATTGCGAAATGCTGCAGCGAAGGGTGTCAAGGTGCAGGCGCCCCGCATTATGAGCCACATACTATTAAATGTTAAATATGAGCTATGATATAAATGTATATATCTACTTATTTATGTGAGCTGTTTAGAGTGCAGTTGAACAGTAGCTTCAGTTAGTCAAGTGGCAGCAGTCAGCCAATTAATTAACTGGGCCAACAAAAACAAGACAGTTGACAACCGACAGGGCAGCTACTGTCCAATGATGAGGCACATTTTGCGCGTGTTTTAATTGTCTCTCTCTTTCAGTTCGGATGAGCTAAAAATATGCGTAACAAATTCGTAAAAGCCGTCCCCAAGCAGTAAGAGATACAACAACGACAAAAGCAACGACAATAACAATAACATGGAAAAAGAGACATTAACTTTTGGCCAAGTGACCCATGGCACAGTGGTTCGAGCTGTGCTAACTGACATTCAAAAAGTATCCACAAAAATCACAAAAAAAAAAAATTAAAAAAATAAAAATAAATAAATAAAACTTGTGTACTCATGGCTCACAAAAGTCGACGCTTACTTTATTATCAACATATTAAAATAGTCTCAAAAGAAAACTATATTTTTTTTAGATGTTAAAAAGTTTTACAATATTACATTTTAATTCTTATTCATTGCTATTTTATTGTGGCTTTTAAATATATATTTCTGTATGTTTAGGGGATCTCCCCTTTATTATAATTATAATTATAATTATCAACAAAATAGATGTTTGTGGGCACAGCTGCAGCCCCAAATCTTGGAATGTTGTTGATAATTAAAAGATATTATTATTTGGAAGAATTGATTTAACATTTATCAAGAGTTACATATAAAAAAGTTGAACGCCTTCATTTTGAATGCTTAACCAAGCTAAAAATAACTTATCACTTAAAAAAACCTATAAATCTTCGAAATTCTAATTAGTATTATAATTATATAAATGCAACAGCAAATTTATTTAATTTTTCTTAAATATTTCCAACAGTTATATTTGCTTGTATCACAAAATATTTTTATTTTTTAACAAACTTTGGACAGTGTGCTAAATTTGAAGAGCTGCCTGCGCTTCAAACCGAGCACAGACAAGAGGCTTTTCATTGTTGTCTAAACAAATAAGTAGTTTATAAATAGTTACAGGTAGTTGTTCATTGTGGTTCGCTGTGATATGTTTGATTGTTGTTGCTGCTGCTGTCCGAGTACGTGCTGTGGAGAGCATCAACCTTAAAGTTGTTCAACGGGCGAACGATTAATAAAAATCAATTTCAAAATGTTGTAGACTGAATATGAAGCAAGGTCGCCAATGGAAACAGCATAAAAAATATCGAGATTGTGCAACTAAATGCGTGCAAATTAAAAACGTCAACAGAAACTGAGAAAACTGCCGAGAAATATTCAAAAAAAAAGGCCGACAACTAAAGCGGCGTTAGACAACGCGATGACAACGCGGAATCAGATGAAAGCCAAAAAGCATCGAGGCATGCCCAAAAACCAATAATAAATACTCGTAAAGGTGCCAGGCAGCCAGGGCGAAAGTAAAAGTTTAACTTAAACACTGATTTCTTTTTAGCACGGTGCCCAAAAATAAAAACAAAGTATAAAATAAAAACTAAAGAGACCCCCAACAAACCGGCAAGATCCACAAAGCTGAGCAGCAGGCACAGCAGCTGCCAAAATGTTGAGGCGATGCTCCGAAATTGTCGCTTTTTTCGCGCACAGTTCAACAACATTTTTGTATAATTGACGCTAAGTAAATATTTAACACACACGCACACGCACACGCCTCAATTCGATTTGGGTCAATTGAAATTGTATAATTTATTCGATAAGAAATTGGCGTATATCTGTGGAATTTTCGATGTTGTCCGAAAACTTTGCCTCTGTGGGTCAAGGCTCAGGCATTTGGATTAACATATAAACAAAATACAATTCGCGGCACTTTTGTGGCTTTGTTTTGCTTTGGTTTTCAGGCATGCACCGGCGGCGGCTGCTGCTGCGACTGCAGCTGGTCATTGGACTCGGCGAAGCACACTCTCGTTTTCAAACTCCAATGGACGACGCTGTCGCGGCATAATGCCGGATGCCACGAGTATGTTTAAATTAGCAGGCACGCGCGAAACGCCCAAAGCCGATCACAACCGAACGGCAGCAGCAACAACAACAACAATAACAACGACGACAAAAACAACAACAATAACTATGACGGCAACTATTTGTGCAACACTTGATCTTGGCTTTCACGGGCGGAGTAGGAGGCGACGGGTAGGCGTGCGCACGTGCCACAATATAACGTTTTCTTCGTTATGGCCGAATTTAGAGCTGGAGACGTGCGCTTTGTTTGCGCGCTGGCGAGCAACTGATGCACGAGTTCGTGCCTTAAGTCTTTCGTTTTGGGTTTCAGTTTCGTTTTTCGTTTAGCCGAAAAGTTTGTGGAGCAGCGCGTAACAAAAGCTCGCTCCGTTGCTGAAAAAGCTTTCTTATGGTTTTATTTTCGGTTATTGGAGCTATTCTCAATTTTCAAAAAGGTGAAAAAACTATCAACTGAATGGAACTATGTAGAAGCTGTGATATCAAGAAATATCGACAACTCAGGATATTAGAGGAGAGAAGTATAGATCGTTTAATGATAGCTTTAATTTTTAAATATGCATTTTTGTAATTTAGGATATCTTCGGCACGCCGGAGATTAAATACCATTGTAGACTTTTCCCTTTTACAGATATGTGGGAATAGTACGGCTCGAAAATTCGGAGTTTGCTGGAAATATCGTTAAAAACTGAATATTTTAGAGGTATTTCCTATAGCAGCTATGTGATATAGTGGTCAGATCGGGTTCCGGATATATATAATCTATAAATATTATTACAATAAAAAAATAACATAATATTAAACATAATATAAAATATTAAAAATATTATGCACTCTGTTTTCAGAGTTATTAGCTGGCTCGAGGTGCCGGGTTTAATTTACTATAATCAAAAATCAAAACAATTTTGTTTTAATATATAGCCCTTCCGATATATTTGCGTTAGGGTTGTTTTTTGGATTTTAAGTGGATATAAGTCTTTAGCTAATTTCGCAGTTAAGTGCAAGAACAATATTTATGCAAGTTACCTTTGGTGACCGCCAGGTGTGAAAGTATTTGAATAGGAATCGAAGAAGCTAATCATAATTAAATAAATCACAAATTCTTAACAAATATAACAGAACAAGTTCATCCAGCTGGGAGTATTGATCAGTTAGAAGCCACTGAAAGGTCCGCCACTTCAATGACCACATCGACGAGCGGTCCCTTGGCAAAGGGAGGTTTCTCATTGGTGCTCAGGAAATAGGAGCCGGAGGCGCTGCAAGCAGATGGGGTTAAGCGAAAAGAACGAAGATTCGAATTGAAAACAAACGGAAACGTACTTCTCGGAAACAAAGTAGCCCATTTGTGTGTTGGGCATATCCGAGTAGAGGCCACAGCGCTGGGTGAAGTAGTGCATCCAGCCGCCGCACTGCTGCGACCAGAAGCCGCGTTCGCTGACAATGGACTCGCCGTAGTAGACGGCGGCGCGAAAGTGATTGCAGTTGTAGAAGCGCCATTCGTTGACGTAGCTGCAGCCGCGCTGGCGGAACTGGTCGAGATTCGGATAGAAGTCGGCATGTCCCATGGCGGGCAGCATGGAGAAGAAGAACGGATCTGTGTGTATGACATCCACAAAGTCCGCATCGCTGCGATCGAGCCTTTCGTGCGGCCAGCTGTTCATGAAGCCGGGTCCAGCCGGATCCAGGCCCGTTATGCGCGACAGAGGCTCACGCACATAATTGGCCGCCATGCCCGCCACCTGGGCGCCCAGACTGAAGCCAATCAGATGCAGCTGCTCGCGCCGATAGATGCCGGCGGCCAAAAGGCTGTCAATGAACTGTGCCAGGCACTTTGACACGACGGGCGCATTGCTCACCGCCCATGGATAGTAGCAGGGCCAGCGCACCAGGCTCCCATAGTCCACGGAGATGACGTGCACCGGCTGCGTTTGCAGCAGGACATCCCGCACCTCCAGATTGGGCGTCTGGCTGCGATTGCCCACAAAGCCGTGTATGAGGATTTTCAGCGGCAAACGTGGCTCAAATAGTTCCGCGGCCGGATTCAACGGATCCAATTGAATGGGCTCATATCGCGTGGCGCTGGGCATATATATAGCATACATAAAAGCAAAACTGGAGCAAGTGCATCCGAAGCTACTCACTTGGTGTACAGCCAGAAGCTAATGCGCGTATTGGGGCAGGTCGGCTCGGCAAAGACGCACAGCTCCGGCAGAAATCGGTTCATCTCCAGCTGCGACGAGCTGTTCCTGACCAGCTGCAGCCAGAAGAGCAGCGCGAGAATTATGCCCACCCGAGATTTGCACATTGCGAGAGTCTGGAGCGCTTTGCTGGCTGACTCTAATGCTAATTCTATTAAATTCACTTGGCCCGACCTCGGGAGCTGCATGGGCAATGAGCTGCCCCCAGTTTAAGCTGTCGTTGATAAGGAGTCAAGGTTTCGGTTCTGGCTCAAGGTCACGCCCCAACACACTCGACAGTCTGCACAACTGCGGGTTAAACTTGGGCTTCGCACGCTGATAATAGAACTAAACTCGTAAAACTAATCCGCGCTGCCGGCGAACTATATTCAAGCATCCAGCTTTGCAGAGTTTTCAATTAATATTAATTAACAAATTAATTTGCTAAAAGTCAACCGGTTTCCGAGTTGATTACAGCCCGGGCTCGACCTCTAAATTGATTCTGCATTGAATTCAAATTCACGTGTAAATAAAATATTTTTTACTTTAATTTCCGGAAATCAACCTAAGCAAACTATGCCGATTTCCGAGTGAGGGTCATTCTTTGTACTCCCACTTGATTTTCTATCCCCGTATTTTATTGCTCTTAAACATTTTTAACACTTTTAGGAAATCGACCAAATCCTCTGCGTCTTTAAACACCAAGTTGAGTCGATTTGCATAATTGAAGACATTTTGGCTGACCTCTCATTTGAACCAATTTCAGAGGGAAGATCATTTTTTCTCCTCTCACTTGATTTTCTATCCGTAAAATAATATTATCTTTGAGTCTTTTGAGAAATCTACGAAGATCTCCTCCTGCCTTTCTAGACTTAAACTTTCTGAACTCCAAACTTAGTCGTTTCCATGATTGAAGACGTCTTGGTCATGGTTTGATGTCTAGCTTAGTTTCTTATTCAATATTCAAGAATATTTTATAATAACATATTTTTGACATTTTCCCCACAATAATATATATACATATACATATATACCTATATACATTCCCTTACGCATATTCGGCAAATTTTGTTCTTCTAAAAATAGAATAAAAAAGTAGATTTTAGGACGTTTAATTTGTCTGTCAAAAAGCATGTCTAAATCTTAATTTATTAAAATTATAAATTTAAATTTGAGTTTATTAAAATTTTGACACATATTGCTCACAAGTGCCGTTCTACATGTTAAACACTCATAACTTGTTCGAAACTAAACCCATTTTTAAGATTGTTGTCATTTTATTTTGCATGGCTTGACCTCTAAATTCAGTTTGCATTCAAAATTCACGAATTTTATACATCACCATTTTTTGTTGTTGACATTTTTCGCAAAATTATCATAATCCTTCTTTCGGTTTTTTTTTTAATTACAATTTTCATTAACAATCTTGTAATTTTTTTTTAATTATTAGGGTTCCTTATGTATCATCTACATACTTATTTCGGAACTTTTTAAAACTCTGATTTACAATCTTGCACTTTTGTTTTAATAATTAAAAATCCCGCAGTTAATATTAAATTAAATTTTTTTTTTTAATATTTAATTTAAAAATCAACTAACTTGGTCTAAACTAAACGTATTCTTGTGATTGACGTATATACGTATATACGCCTCCCCTCGTCACTGATTCCTAGGTGAATCATTTGAATACGATTTAAAAGAATATAAAGAATTCTTTGAATTTTTTGTCTGAAAATTGTAAATGTAAAAAACAGTATATATATATATATAAATATTAAATTAAACGTTTTCATTATACAAACGATTATAATTAATTAAAAACAAGGCTTCATTTTGAGTTTTGAAAAATAAAAAAAGTATTTGAAACATTCAAACGATAATAACTATAAGAGTAGGGCTTCATTTTGAGTCGATTGTCAGAAAATTATAAACAGAAACAATCTACCCGATTAAGAAAAAAATTAAACAAATATTTAAAAGTATTCAAACTATTTAATCGTAATTCAGATTAAATTTAATATATCAATAGATTAATTGGTAAATAAATAAATAATTAAGCACATGCAAAAGTACTATCACAAACTGGGCTAAAAGAGAGGCTCATCGAGTGCCTCCTGCCAGATCAATTGTTTCTCGAGCTCATCGGTGTCCACATCGTTGTCCTCCAGCTCTGGCATGGGTTCGCTCAGTTCCGGCTCGTAATCCTGTTCGATCTCATTGTGTTTGGCACTCAATCGGAACTTGGCCACATATTTGCTATTGTCCGGCTCCTCTGGCTTGCCCATGGCATAAGGCGGAGCACTGCCTGCCCTGAGGAAGTAGTTGCCCGTCATGTTCTCCGAGACGTGATAGCCCATCAGGGTTTGGGCGGCGCGGGTGGAGCACAGGCCAAAGAGGTGGATTAGCCAGCTGGAACACTGGCGACCCCAGAAACCCAATGTGGAATTGATGGACTCGGCATAGAAGCGTGGCGCACGCTCGTGATTGCAGCTGCCCGGATCGTTAGGATTCTCCTCTAGGCAGCCAGGCTGCAGTGGTCCGAAGTTGGGATAGAAATCCACATGTCCCATGGGCCGCATCATGCCACGCCCCAGCGTATCCGTGTGTATGACATCCACGAACTCCGCATCATTCGCATCCAGGCGACGCGATTCGCTGCTCAGTATGAACAGCGGCTTGGCCGGATCCAGTCCCGTGATGCGTTTGGGCTTGCGCTTCAGATAGTTGGAGGTCTGTCCGGCCACCTGGCCGCCCAGACTGAAGCCAATGATGTGCACCAGCTCGTGCTGCACAATGCCACGCTCCAGCAGATTGTTGATGAGCTGCGCCAGACACTTGCTGACCAGCGGCAGATTTCGCACCGCCTGCACATAGCAGGGATAACGCACCAGCGGAGCATAGTCAATGGATATCACATAGACGTCCACGTTGTCCAGCAAGGCGGGACGTATGTGATTGTTGGGTGCAAAGTCCCGATGACCCGTATAGCCGTGCAGCAGTATTTTGAGTGGACGGGGCGGTTGAAAGTCCCAGGGATTGAGATCAACGGGATTCAATTGGATGGGCGCATCCCGTGTGGCGCTGCGTACAGAAGCAAATGATGCCATCAATCTTGGAGCAACTCGAACGCAAGAAACCTACTTGGAGTACAGCCAGAAGGTGACATTCTGATTGGGACACTCACCGCCGCTGGCCACAAAGCAGGCAGGATCCACCAGTCCCAGCAGCGGATTGGCACGGATGAAGCAGACGCCAGCTGCACGAAGGACAAAGGATAGAGGAGTTTTACGAACAGCCGGACTGAAGCAGTGACTCACCCAGCAGCGAGAGCAGCGTCGTCATCGTCGTCGTCGTCGTCATTGTCGGCGGCTTTATTTGGACAAACTTCTGTGCGGAACTGTGCGTCGAGCAGCGAAAGTAACCGCTATTTAAACTGTCAACTGGCGCCTAATCAAAAAGTGCGATCTGTGTGGCTTGGTGGAGATTGAGACGGTGGCATAAATATGCATAAGCACCCACACATGCGAACACCTGCTGCAGCCAGCAGCTGCTCAATTCGCACATTTTTTATTGTGTGTGGTTGTTTTTAATTGGGTCAATAAGAATGAAATTTGTTTTCCAAATGTCTCATCCGTGGCGTCATCTATGTCTCGGTTCAGTAGTTAAATGTGAGCGGTAAAATTATTACTCTAGCTGTCAGCTTTTGTTTGCTACAGTGCGCGTGGCGATAAGCTGACTGATATGAACACAATACTTAGCGATAGCTGTGACGGTGACTTGCGATTCATTACCACACATTTGACCTGGTTTGGCAATTGCAATTTTATTAGTTTCATCTTACTATCAAAAATATTCCCTTGTTTTATTTTGAACTTGCAATTCTAGCCTTTATTTTCTGAGGAGTCGCTGAGTCCTTGGCGATAGTTTCGCGCTACATGCGTTCAGTTACTCATCTCTAGCTGCAGGTGCACATCTCTAATATATTTTCTTAGTAAACAACAACAGTTGCTTTCACCTACAAATTTGACCCGGCATCTGATTATCAAAATGATAAGTAATATAAGATTTTCCATTCGCCACGATTAGACCTGATATTGTGATTCTCTAACAAACAAAAAGGTAAATATACAACTGAAGTTGAATATTATATAATATTTAATGTTAGACAAATGTAAACAAAGCTTGATTTCACACCACCAGAGCCAACACACATAGAACAATTATCAGGCTAAACGGAATGTTACCGATAACTGAGACTTAATATTGTAAAGTATTAATTTATATGGATCTAGATACAGGATCTTAGAGGACAACTAACAAACAATGGCTAAGAGACAGGCCTGGGAGCACATGCGCCATGTTTTTCAGGGTGCCGTGAATGCAGTGCATCCGGAAAGGATATTTGCCGACTATAACAAACACGATTTTCGACCGAGAGAACAGGATCAGCGTGTCTATATCAAGCTGGATGGCCAGCAACAGGATATAACTGGCAAAACCTGTCACATTGTGGGTTTCGGCAAGGCCGTGCTGGGCATGGCCAACAAGGTGCAGCACGATCTGGGCCCATGCTCCGCCGGCGGTGTGCTGAGCGTGCCACATAACAGCTTGCAGCAGTACAAGCAGCCTGTCTGCCAGAAACTGACCATATATGAGGGTGCACCCAACAATTTGCCTGATGAGACGGCGCAGAACGCGGCTCTGGAGATCAAGAAGCTGGCCGAGAGCATGACGGCCAAGGATGTGCTCTTGGTGTTCATCTCAGGCGGCGGCTCAGCGCTGTTGCCGTTGCCCAGGCCACCGCTTACCCTGCTGGACAAGCGCAACATTGCGGACAAGCTGATGAAGCATGGTGCCAGCATCCAGGAGCTGAACACAGTGCGAATAGCCTGCTCGGACATCAAAGGTGGTCGCTTGGCGCAGGCTGCTCAGCATGCGGGCATGTTAATCACTCTTGTGCTGAGCGACATTGTGGGGGATCCACTGGAGTTGATTGCCTCTGGGCCCACTATTCAGCCCAGCAGCGAAACGGGCCAGTCTGCGTCAGATATCTTAAAGCAGCACCAAGTGTGGGATGAACTATCGCCTCAGCTGCAGCAGCTCTTCGAGCAGGACACTCAACAGCAGCGGCTAGGAGCGCTTGACAGTAAAGTGTTTGTGGTGGGCAGCAATAAGATAGCCACCACAGCAGCTGCACATGAAGCCGCCCAACTGGGCTACATACCCTGCGTGCTAAGCTGCTCCATACAGGGCGATGTGAACAACGTTGCGGCAGATTATCAGCGTCTGCTGCACGGCATCCAGGAGTACAAGCAGCGCACGATCAATCAACAGCAGCTGTGCGAAAGATTTGCATATGGCGAGCGAAGTTTTCAGGATTTTCTCAAGGCGCTGGAGCAGCATATATCAACAAAAGCGCCGCTCTTTCTGATCTGCGGCGGCGAGCCGGTCATCAAGGTGAGTGTTCATAATAATAGTCTGGAAGTATAGTTAGTAGTGTCTAAGGTTTGTAGGTCACGGGTCTGGGTCTGGGCGGACGCAGTCAACACTTGGCGCTGCTCATGTCGCAGATGCTGCACCGAGATGAGTTGCTGAGCGATTGCGCATTTCTTAGCGCTGGCACGGATGGCATCGACGGACCCACGAATGCAGCGGGCGCCATTGGCGACAGCTGTGTAATTGATGCCTATCTCGCCAACCATACTTTGGACGAGCTGGCCGAGATGCTGCGCAATTGTGATAGCTACAACTTCTATAGCCAATTGGCAGATGGTGGCTACCATGTGCTCACTGGGCACACGGGCACCAATGTCATGGATTTGCACTTCCTAGTTGTGCCGTAATACTAGCTTTGTGGCGGGGCAGTCAAGAGGGCTGTATATGATTTTTTTTGTTAATGAAGTTGCTCTTGAAAGCCAAGCGGGGCATAGTTTCAATTTGTTTAATAAGTGTACAGACAGTTTTTACGATTTTCCTGTTTAATTTTTTCTTATAAATTTTTACGACTCGTTTCATTAACATTTTTAATATGCATTTAATGACAAGTATTCTCTATTCTGTATCTATGCGAAGCTGTTTATGCTGCGCGCGCTCGCTTCTCAAGTGACAAACATAAAATCGCAATTGGCTTTTTCCTCTTCATGAAAATGAAATAAAAATTGTGTCTTGAAATGCTTGAAATGAGCAATCAGCAAATATATTTAATTTTTTTGGGCTACCAGATGGATTGTGTTGATTTTATGGTTGTTCTCATATATGTGTGATAAATCAAATGAATATATATCTGTCTATATGTACAAATATACTTCTCTATATATATATATATATATGATTATTATAAAGCATAAATATTTGCCTTTTTGTTTAGTTTCATTTTTTTCCCTCATAAAAATGCGCTGCTAATAAATCATCTTAATTGTTTAAGACCCCAAAGGCAAACAGTAGCAGCAGTAGCAGCAGCAACAACAACAACAACAACAACAACAAAAGCCAGCGATAATTGCAATTAAAAATGTAAATTTATTTGTTTAGTTTTATTTTTAGCAACAACAATCAAATACTAAAAAACAAAAAAAAAAAACAACTAAAAACTAAAACTCGACGCGCGCCCAGTCGCATTTTACAATTTTACAACTGACACTTTGCTGCATTTTTTTCTAATTGCGTTTGTCTTTTTTTTTGCCTTACTTTCAATACCCTTACTGTGGGTAGTGTACAATTTTAATTGGGTATGTCCTACATAGAAAAAACTTATCTCTCAGCTACTTCCTTATATTTTCGTATATTTATAAAAAAAATTAGAAATAAAATTGTACTACATTCCCAAATACATATCTTATATTTCTATTTCTTATATATAGTATAGATAAATAAATGGTATATATAAATACTTCTTTATTTAATACTTAAAAAAGATATATATATATCTATATCTATATATATAGTATTTTTTATATATACTAGCGGGTATAACCCGGCCTTGTCCGTAGCAAGTTTAGTGCTAAGCATTTTAGATATTACTTTTTCATCCGGAAATTCGTGGAAAACTTAACTCTGCCCGTTCTATCGTGATATATATATGTGTGTATATATATATATATATATATATATTTTTAAATTATTTATCAAATAAGTATGTATGTAAATCCGTCTTTATTTTTCAAATGGGCTTCGAATCGGTCTACTATAACATATAGTTTCCATAGCAAGATGACTCTAATGACTATATATTTATTTTATAAATATATTTTGACTTTTAAGATATTTCTTGAGCAAACTTGTAATTTTGTTGTGGATGATTCTGTAAAATTAAAGAAAGGGATTTTAATATATATTTTTAAAATTTTTTATATTTATATTAATTATATTGATAAGAGAGATAAGTTTTAAAGTGTATCCACACTATCTTAATATAGTAATGTTTATTATTTCTGATACCTGTATGTCTGCAAGAATATTTAAACTTCTGCACTACGCATATAACTGGGATTTCTTGTAACTTGTCACAAGTTATTTATTTGAAGTCGCAAAAGCAAAAAATACGTTTCTTTATGAAGAAACTTATTGTTTATAATGTCCATTTGGTAGCTGGCGTTTAAAACAGAACATCATTAATTCGATGACTAGTTAGGGTATTTAAATTTCGTTCGTCACAAAGACAGCTGTTCTTTCTTGTCGATTTTTTTCCTCTTGTTTTATGCACAATAGACACTTTTGATGTTATTGTTGTTGCAGTTGTTGCAGTTGTTGCTGCTTCCATTGCTCTTTACAATAATTATTTTGCCGCGCATTTGGCACAATTATTAAATAATCACATTCGCCTGTAGTATCACAGTCTGTGCTATTTTTGCTTGATTAACTTTGTTATTAACTATATAAATGTCTATATAAAAATAAACAACAACAACAAATGGCAGCTGCGGTTGCCGCCAGGCGATGACTAATGCAGTTCTTTTGAATAATATGACTTGATAAATCAGACTATCTAATTACAGTCCATTAAGGCAATATTGCATTCAAGGAAATGTGTTAGCTAATATTTTGTATATATATCTTTTGGAGCCAGTTCTGTTTTAGTGAATCGAAGAGTTATAATTAAGAATTATTATTTTGATATATATACCATTTATACCAATAAGTCTAAAACTATTAAATTAAATTTATTAAAACTAAAAAATTATTTTAATTAAAGAATTAGAAATGTATGAAACCTTGGCTAAGAAATATATATCGAAGGTAAAGCAATTTATTTTTGTAGAATTTTAAATTTTAAGTTTATATTGAAAGCAATTTCTCTTCAAATATTTAGGATATATTTTCTTTTTCAAGCACTTTCAAGCACAAAAGCCATGTTAATTTGGCTTACAATGAAACTCAATTTTTTTTTATTTTACCATCTTCTACTATAAAAGATTACTTCTTCTGTCTTAACAAGACTTCCATCTAAAAATTAATTATTTTAATATTAGTTTTTCTTATATATTTTCTTGCTCACACACTCGAAAGAAATGTTGCGTTTGCTTACAAGGAAACTCAACTTAAGATTACATTATTTTAATTAAAGAGTGCGTGAATTGAATTAAGCCCTGACAGGCTGCCCACTCGGCCTAGGGTTGGGCCCATGCACAGATCTATGAGCTGCGATTAGAAACATTTCCGTTTCCGTTTTAGGTCTGCATGTGTGCTGCCGGTCAGCTTCTATATTTAACACCAAACGGTGGACTAAAAAGTGTGAGCAGGGGGACGGGCTGTCAACCCCCCCAGCAGCAGCAGCAACTGAGGCAACTTTGACTTAAGCTTGGAGCAGCAGCAGCAGCAGCTGTGGAATGTCGCGTCAATTTGTCTGCCTTGTTGGCTGCTGGCGTAGCAACAATCTCAGAGCGAGTTGAACATCTGCTGCGTATGATGAGCATGATGATCATGTTGCTGATGATGATCATCATGTTGTAGTAGCTGCCGTTGTTGTTGTAGTTGCTGTTGCTGTTGCTGTTGTTGCGGCCATTGAGTGCAAGTGTCGCGTTGATTTATTAATTAAGCATTGGAGAGCTGCGCGTGGCAACTGCGTGGCTAATGAAGTACTCGGACTTGGACTCGCATTTGCTGGCAATTTTTAATTAACGATCCGATCCGATCCGAGCCAAACCGATCAGTTGAGATCTTTTAGAAAGCGTATACACGCACACACAGTTATCAAATAGACTTTTGGGGCAGCTGAGTTGTTGACTTATGACATCACGCGCAGCTGTCCAGACAAGCTGACGACGCATTGCGCATACGCCGCGTGGCCCGGCCAGCAGCAAACCCAAGCGCATCCAGATCCAATTTGTAAATTGTGCTCCACTCCAATTTGTGACTGTGCTTAATTTGTCTAGACAATGGCAAAGTTCAAGCGAGTGCCAAATGGAATCATATATGGTATTCGTATCTATGAGCACACATTGCCTAAGCAAACGCAATCGCAAGTTCAATTAATGCTTTTGTCACATGGGTTTCTCTTGCCACCAGCCAAATACAATTTGCATACATTTACTGCGTAGCTTGGCCATGATTCATGTTCCCAAGATTCAGTGGAATGTCTTAATTTGAAGCATCTGTCTCTGTGCGCGCACGACTTGATTTCGGGGATGGCGGCAGCCCTTGAGATCAACCCCAGCGAAGCGCATCAAAACGAGTGCAGTGAACTGCTGCGAATGCTCATGTCAAATCGATTTGACATCAGGTCAAAACTGACAGTGAGATATGGGAAAGATCTCGGATGGAATTCACTGCGTAAGTAAAATTTTCTCAGATTGAAATTGTAATTTTGCTTAACAAAATATAAAGTATTTTTATACTCTTGCAGAGGGTATTATAATTTTGTCGTGAAATGTGTAACGCATAGAAGGAGACATCTCCGACCCCATAAAGTATATATATTCTTGATCAGTATCAACAGCCGAGTTGATATAGCCATGTCCGTCTGTCCGTCTGTCTGTTTCTATGCGAACTAGTCTCTCAGTTTTAAAGCTATCTTTATGAAACTTTGCAGAATTCCCTCTTTCTGTTGCACGCAGTTCATAAAAAATATTTTTGTTTATAAAGTTATCTTGACTAAACTTGGTATTTATTAGTTTTACTACGCTCCCCATATATATGCAAAATCCTATTAAGATCGGACAACTATATCATATAGCTGCCATAGGAACGATCGGTCGAAAATTAAGTTTTTGTATGGAAAATTTTTTATGTTTTTCAAGATATCTTGACCAAACTCGGTATTTATTAGTTTTACTACGCTCCTCATATATATGCAAAATCCTATTAAGATCGGACAACTATATCATATAGCTGCCATAGGAACGATCGGTCGAAAATTATGCTGTTGTATGGAATTTTTTTTGTTTTCCAAGATATCTTGACCAAACTCGGTATTTATTAGTTTTACTACGCTCCCCATATATATGCAAAATCCTATTAAGATCGGACAACTATATCATATAGTTGCCATAGGAACGATCATTCGAAAATTATGCTGTTGTATGGAATTTTTTTGTTTTCCAAGATATCTTGACCAAACTCGGCATTTTTTAGTTTTACTATACTCCCTCCACTTATTCAAATCTTATTCACATCGGGCTACTATATCATATAGCTGCCATAGGAACGATCGGACGAAAATTAAGTTGTTATATGGAAACCTGTTTTGTTTTTCAAGATATCTTAACCATACTCGGCATTAACTATTTTCCCTGTGCTTCTTAGATACGGGCAAAGCACTATGAGCATTTTGAAAAAGTTGGGTCTGCAAGGGTATTAAATCTTCGGTGTGCCGAAGATAGCACTTCTTTCTCGTTTTTCTTTAGTTGCTGTCACAGTTGACAACCACTTAAGCTGTTAGTTATTTAATATTTGACAAGCAGATAGTGTTCAGTGTTGCCGCTCTGCTACAAATATTGGATATGGCAGTATCACATACTGCTCAGTGTTGCCATATTGTTACGATTCTTTTAAATTAGTTATCCTTTTGATAAAAAATTGTTAATATTTCCGATCGGAAACTTTTTGTGTAAATTTAACTTCTTATTTCATAGTCATGACAAGGAGTTTGAAAATTCTGGCGGGTTGCCCCAGTTATCAAGTTTATAGCGTATAGATATATCTCTGATTTATAAATCATATGATACTTTAAATATATATATATCAGAGGGATCTGTAAATAATCCTTAGTTAAAGTAATTGAAAACCTATCTATGCTCATAGATTTCATAAATAGATACATTTATAATTTTTTAATTATTTTGATATATTTTTTTTTTTTTTTTACTTCTACCCTTTAAAATTAAGCATCTTAAGGGCTTTACTTATCAAAGTGCTCAACTGAGCTCACATTCGGGCAAATAGGTTGAGCTTAAGCCATGCCCAAAATTGAGAACAATAACAAATAAATCATATGCATTTAATCTAACGCCATTTGGCATCGCGGCAATTAACAATTTATGGTTTATTACTCAGGCCCAGTGGCTGTGGCAGTGGCAGTGTTAATGTGCAGCTTGCCATTTATCAAATGCATCATCTTCTTCTTAATTCGAGCGGCTGCCGGCTTCACGGCCGCAGCCAGAAGGCAGCTTAAT